GCGGTGATGAAGCAGGGGGTACAGCCCTTTGCACAAAACTTGCACCAGTCTGATCACGTGACTTGATAAAAATATTAAGTCAAGCCTATGGCTAATCATCACGTGACTGTAACTGATGGTGGCAAGTTTTGTGCAAAGGGCTGTATATGCACACATAGCAGGGGCGTATCTAGAAATTAGAGAAGGGGGGTGCTGAGGGCGCGCGAAGCGCGCCGCGATTTTGGCCACACCCAGTTTTACGGCGGTAAAACGGCCTTTTCCTGCATTTTCGTCAATTACGGGTGGGGCCAAGATCATTTCAAGCATACTGCAGGGGCGGATCTAGGGGGGGGGGGTTTGTGGGGTTGCAACCCCCCCAATACATTCTAACTCAAAAAAATTTTAATCTTTTTATTGTTGCAACAGTGGTAGAAGTGCTAACCACCTAGTTTATATAGCAACATTACTGTGGTTAATGAATATAATTAACAAAGAATGAGCTCCAAAAATGGTGGAAAAGTTGATTTTCACGTGATTTTAACCACAAAATAGCGCCGAAAAGGGGGCGTGGCCAAATCGCGGCTCGCTTCGCGCCGTTTTATCTCTCAACCCCCTCATTTGCAGAATCCTGGATCCGCCCCTGTACTGCTATGTTACTGGTACTTCTGATTGCTCCTTAAAGCACTGGAAACTGCTGAAACCATGATAAGGGGGCTAGATAACTTTGTTAAGAGGCTTGGTAGTGATGCAAGAGTCCAGGACTTCAGTAATTTTTTTCTGAGCCCAGCCCTGAGGGGGGTGCTCAAGCCCCCTCAGCCCCCCCCTAAATACGCCTCTGCATAGATACTACATACACACATGGATAAGAAACAGGAAGTGATATTGATGTGCCATGCTCTTGACGCCGGATATGACTCATAGAGCATAATAATGAATAATCTACACACGTGAATAAGCATGGCCATTAGCAATGAGGACTGATAGTGAGGAGTTTCACTGGATTTATAGCCAAGTTCTCAGTTAGATGAGCTCCAGATGAATACTTCTACCACCAAGAAGGTCAAATCACACATTTATTTTGTGATGAAGTCAAAAGGGGATGAAACAAAAGCTCTAGAGACTATTGTTTATTACATCAAACATAAGATATTATTTTATATGCCTATATAATAATAATTTTAGTCATAATTTAGGTTCAACAGATGCTTTTTGCCATCTATATTTACGAAGTTTCATCAACACCTTCACTCTTTCAGAATATAATTCATCGTTATCATTCTCTGTTGTATAGTACCCTATAATCATGACAATCAAAAATAAATGTCATTATAATAGTTAAATACTGACTTTCCCTGATACCGCTAAACATAACAAAGCAGTAATAGTACTCTTGTCTGTCATCTTATAGTGTCTGTGTTGGTATTCTAGCGGGTTAATAGTTTATTTACTGAAATATAGGATTCCAAGGGATTTATACCTTGTCTACAATGGTAATATCAGAGGAGCTGCTGCCACATTCCAACTCAGTATGTACAGGATCATGTCTCTTTTCAAATCCACCCTATTCT